CCCCTCAGCCCGGAATTCCAGGACAAGCCCCTCAGCCCGGAATTCCAGGACAATTCCCTCAGCCTATAGGCGTGGGACGACCTCCACTCCCTGTAAATCCAGGACAACCCATAGGTATAATTTGGCCCACTCAGCCCATAGGTATAGAACGACCCCCTCAACCCGTATCTCCAGGACAACCTTATCCTGTAGGAAAACCGCCCCAACCCGGGGGCTCGGGACGACCTCCTCAGCCTGTAGGGGTAATACACCCCCACCCCATAAGCATAGGAATACCCCCTCAACCTGATGTTCAAGGACGACCTCCTCTGCCTGTTGGCGTAGGACGACCTCCTCAACCTGATGGTCAAGGACGGCCTCCTCAGCCTATTGGCGTAGGACGACCTCCACAACCTACTGGCATAGGACGACCTCCTCATCCAGAAATACCTCCTCATCCCGTGCATCCAGAATTACCTCCTCCAGGACGACCCCCTCACCCAGGACGACCACCCTTCCCCATAGTCCAGCCTCCCCCCCAGCCCCCGCAGCCTTACCCTCCCTCTCCCGGGTGCCTCTTGCCTGCTGACCTGTGCCCCCCCGCCCCCCACCCCCATTGACCAGTTCCCCCCGTCCGGACCCGAACCCACGGACATCCCCACCCACCCCACCATCCCCCTTCGGTCATCGACACCCTGGGGGAGTCGTCCGAGTGCTGCGAATGCAAGGACGACGACGACGATGACGACGACGTCGACAGGTATCGGTCGAATCTCGTCCTGTCGCCGAACCAGCTGAGAGACAGGTCAGTGCGTTTTATTTTTTATTTCTTTTTTTTTCTTTTCTTTCTTTTTTATTGTGCGTTTTCAGTTCGTTTTCTTTCTTTCCTTCTTTCTTTTTTATCGAATAGTATTGCCTCCTTAGCTGTACTTAATAGGAATTTGTCTAGTAGTTGTGTCAAGTCTCAAATTATTTACTTAAGGACACCAACTTTGAGAAGGAAGAAAAAAAAAATAATAATGCGTTTTCGTTGTCAGTTCGTATTCAGTGCACTACTGGCTGGTTGCAACACGCAGAGATTTCGTATAATTCGTCTCTACGATATTGCAATGCAACATCACCCTGGTCCAAAGTGATGTCGCTGAGTATTGCTAGTTAGACAGCTGAGAGGGAACATGCTGTGTAGTAGTTAGTATTCGGATACAGTAGAGCTATGATGTGATAGTTATTACGTGTGAGAGAATAAAAATCATTGTCTGTGGTTTCCAAGACGACGTGTCTTAAAGTCTCTGTCAGCAGCTACGATCTCTTAAACGCAATATAATGTTTGGTTTGTAGGCCTACAATACACACACTCCCGTCGCGTGGCCACACATCTCTCTCTTTTTCTTTTTCTCTCTCTCTCTCTCTTCTCTGTTGAGTAACTGATAATAAGAAGGAGAAAAATACTGCATAAGAAACCATATGTTGTATTTGTTATTGGTTTCATGGACCATGTTGGTCTTCTCGGATGATCCTCAAAACATCAGGGAGTTATGAAGGGAACAACAAGACCTAGGATTGTAATTCTTTATGTTTTTTGCGTGATAACATAGATCATTACAACATTTGTGTGTACTGTTCGTTTCCGTGTATGTGTGTGTGTGTTTTTCTTTCTTTCTTTTACGTGTGTATTTGAAATCTATCCATTTTCCGTATTCATTTCAACAACATTTCTGCTTCCAGGTCCCCCGTGGTGGTCGTGGTAGGCAACCCTGGCACCAACGACCTGGACTGGCTCTCCCGGATCATCCAGTACGGCAAATAGACCAAGAAAAAGGACTGGCTCGCTCTCCCTCCCCTTCGCTTCATCGCCAAGGAAAATCGTCCGAATATGAAGAATTTCGTACCTTTTCCCCAGCATGAGAAGAAAGGTTGTGATCCATTGAAAGCGGAGGGTACGAGAGGGGGGGGGGGGGGGATAGAGGAACCACATGCTAATCATTTTTGGGCATTTTCTCATGACATTGAGTTGGGGGATTCACACCAGTATGCCATGGGTCTTGGCTCCGAAAGGCACTGGAGCTGAATCTCTACTTGCGCGCTTGTTTTTTTCTGTACATTTTCATTTGTGGTGATGTAGCCTACCATAATGCATCCATACATACAGTGTATAGCTATGTCATATCTTTATTTTTACGTTTTTAGTTTTTTTTTTTTTTACCTTTTAGCCAAAGTTTGTGGCATTAAAAGATTCTTTTTTTGGACTAACACTCGACTAACCAGAACCGAAAGGCAATTTTATTATTATACGAAGCGTGTTGAGTGTACACGCTGAGAGAATTCACATTCCAGTATGCTTTTAAAGCTCAGTTACATCTAACTACGAATACGGAGTCAATGTGCTTGTCTCTACTTATTACATTTATTACTTTCTTAATCGAAAAAAGACACACTAACTTCGTTCTATGAAACGCTGTAGCTCCGCAAATCTCTTCGAAATGAGTAAGCTTCCAGAATGTTTCCAGATAAAGAGATAATCCCATATAAGGAGCTTAGCGAGTGGGGCATTACACGTGTCTCTTCATTGTTGGTTTTTGCAATGACAATTCTCGTTGAGCGATAATAATAGCAAGATGTAATGTATCCGTTGGCTATTGCTTAATGGAAATCCGACATATCAAATTGTGTACTGGTCCGATGTAATTATGTTGCTTTGTTTACATTTAATAATAAAGAATAATAATAAAGTGAAAATGTTTTATTGGATATTCTATACATGAGTACATTTTAGATTATATAGGTAGTATTATAACACAAGATTACTCGTGTGTTTCCTTTCTAAGTATGGTGAAAGAGAAAATTAGGAGAATTTTAAAAGAAATACACAAAAAGGCAAAATGAACAGAGGAGAATATCTATCAATCAAATTGCCCATTAAAAATATTAGGTTATTCAACCCCCTGCAGTTACTAGTACAAAGAAGAAATAAAAAGTAGGACTACAAACCTTTTTTTTTTTTTTCTTATGATAAACAGAATCTTCTATTCTTCACAAAGTTGTTAAGAAAAACAGACCACTGGAAATCTGGCTAAATATTATCCGAAATGAGAAACGAAATGTCAGACTGCCTCTCATTTTCAGGTGTTTACAGTGCTAAGATGACGTCACAGGCAGACATGAAATCTATAGCAGGGGTGACCAA